TAGTTTTCCTTTACAAATTACTTGATCCTCTGAGTAGGGCCTGAGAGATTTTTAAATTTAAAAAATTGAGATGATCATCCTTATTTTATTTATTAACTTTTGTGCATGGAGGGTATGAAAATTAAACTTACTAGTTTGAATTCTGAAGATGATTTACAGTATCTTTAAATGTAATTTGACCTCAATATTGTAAATTTTATAGGGAAAGACATCTTTACTCTTCATCCTAGGTACAACCTATCCAGGTGACAAAAGAAATATTAAACTTATTAGACTCTAAAAAAAATAAGTTTTATTATCGATGATTATCAAATATTGATGTTTATATTTATGAAAGTCCTTTTGAGACCTGCAGAATAATCAAATGGTGTGGTTTTTCCCCCCCAGAATTACCCCTGGACCACAAGTTTACAAGATTCTCTTCAGACGGTTCAAAAACAGCTGGCTACTATCCAAACCCTCCATTGGCCTTATCAAGCTTTGAAACATTGACAAACAAATAACTTACCTTTACTGAAATTTGAAGTGAAGAACCATATATGCAGCAAATGTACTGTAAAACAAATACTGTAAAATGCTTTATAGGAACAGATTCTTAATGAAAATTGATAAAAAAAAAATTGATGTTTTTCCATAGGTCCTCTTTCTACAGATGTCCAACAACTCTCATTATGTCAAAATCTCGGTGTCTTAGAACTGAAAAGAACTTTGCTAACAGTGTGTACAGTGTGTATACCAATATTCCTGAGATTAGAATTCACCTGGGGACACATATGCACACACATATTTACATCTACTTCTAAACCAGTGGCTCTCAAAGTGTGGTCTCTAACCACTAGCAGAGCATCCCCTGAGAATATGATAGAAATGCAAATTTGCAGGCCCCAACCCAGACCTAGAGAATTAGAGCTATGGAAATGGGACCCAGCGATCTATGTTTAATAATATTTTTATTCTCACACAAGTTTGAGACCCACTGGCTGGGCCTTAACTTCTAGAGATTGGTTATTTAGTCTGGGTATGTAGATGAACACTGACATCTTTTAGATGCCCCAGGAAAATGTGGTCAGCATTGGGAAAACTCATCTACACCTCCTTCAGTTGACCTAGACACTGAGTCCAGCAAGATGAATGATTTCTCCAAGCTACTAGGCTTTATGCTGTCCTTTTATTTTCCAAAGCTAGGAATAGAGACAGGATTGCTTCTGATACCATGCAGCCAGGATGGGACAGAGATGATACCAGAAACCAACTATTTCAGCCTCCAATGTTATCCTTAGGGTTCACCCTCTCCCCTCCCCCCCAATAATGTTAAAGGCTAATTCATTTTCATTCACTTTAAAGCATGTATTCTCAAAAGAAAAAGAAAATAGTTCTTAGGGTGAAAAAAAATAAGATAATGCAAATGGAATATAGCCCTTCAAAGCTCAGCATTACCCAATAAAATCTGTTCCTTAGTATTTTTCTCATTAAGGAGGAATATAAGGTTAAATTTATTAATTAAACTTAATTTGAATTAAATTTAATTTTTCTCCTTGGGAGAGGGGGGTGATAATGGGGGAAAAAAAGTTTGAGAAAAACTGCTTCAAGAGGGTGTATGGTTATATGACAATCCCAGATTGTTGTGTTCTATGTGCTGTGCATAGTCATATTAGTAGCTATTTGTTGTAAGATGTTTGGAGCCAGATGGTGTTTACAATATCAATCCTGGCTACTCTGTATGTTGTAATTTCACTCTGTCCAGCATGAGCAATAACAGAAAACACTCATCACCATCATTATTTTACTTGAACTGTAGTAGAGAATTTAGCATATTAATGCATACAATGGAAAGATATTTAAAGCATTTTAAATGCTCAAAAATAACCCCAAAAATATTGTGGGGATGAGTATCTCAGGGTAGGTAAACAATTACTGAAATTATTTCCTCAAAGTCAATAACTTTCTTTGATATCAACTGGTAAGAATAATGTGCTGGAACTTTATTTCCAAAATCTCATTGGACTATGACAATCAAGCTTAAGGCTGAATAATAGATACTGTCTCATATATACTTTCAGTACACATTTGATTTTTTTAAAAAAATAAAGCTATTTTTCCTTAGACATTTATTTTATAGATGGCAAAGAATACATCTTTAAGTGCTTATAAACTACTGTTGCTAATATAGAATCCTGTATAATAAAGAGGTAATATACAAATTAACTCTCACACCCTCACAAGATGGCTGCATGGAGCGACCAGGCCAGCAGGGGGGTTAGTGAGGGATGACCAAACGATTGAACAAGCAGACTGCATAGTGAGGGGAGGTGGGGGGCAGTTAGGGGCGACCAGACTGGCAAAGGGGGGCCAGTTTTGGGCGACCAGGCCAGCAGGGTGGGAGCAGTAAGAGGCAACCAGGCTGGCGGGGGGGGGGGGGGGGGGGGGGGGGGAAGGGGGGGGACACGGAATTTGGGCTGATTAAGCTGTCAGGGGGGCAGTGAGGGGTGACTAGACCAGCTGTAGGGGTTTAGGGGCAGTTAGGGGCGACCAGGCAGGTAGGCAGGTGAGCAATTAGGAGCCAGCTATCCAGGATTGTGAGAGTGATGTCCGACCCTGCCCTCCCTCCCCCTCACCTCATTGCATGAATTTCATGCACTGAGCCTCTAGTCCTAAAACAAGTTAATAGCCCTTTTTGGGCCACTGAGGAGTGAAAAAATTCAATCAAGTCAGAAAGAAGTTCTAGTCCTACTTTTACTAGTATCTACCTAAAGAATCTGAACAAGTTAACCACCTAATTTGACCTCAGTTTTCCCTATGTTGTCGAAAGATGTTAGCGTTTACTTCCAAGTTGTCTTCCAATTTACAGCAGGGACAGTCATTGACAATAATGAATGCCGCTTTTCTTTTGGGCTGTAATTAGACTTTTAAAATTTTTATTTCACTTTTAAAAAGTGCCAGTGTTTTTAATTGGGCATGAAGGTTTAAAATCATCCAAAAAATGGTACGATAGAAATTAAAAAGAGAGAATCTTATGAAAGAAAAGCTATATCTTCTTAATAAAGTCATGACTAACAATGCAGGAAAACTGTGCAAATAGGCAGAAGACTTAAGTTTAATATTAGTATACAGGCAAACATTCGTAATCTAAAAGGTACCAAAGAATAATGGTCAAGGGAGCTGGGGGTTCCTTTGCCAGCCACTTGATCTCATTAGCAGAGAACTCTGAATGACACAGTGGTCAAACAACTCAGAATTTGGTATTTAGAATATTGAGGCAGCGGAAACTTCAACTGAACCTAGAATTACAATCTAAAACCATCTGCTGAGTTTGTTAAACTCAATTCACATCCCATAAGAACTTTACATCAATATAAAGCACATATATGTACTATATATGTATACACATACTTTTAGTGAACTTGTTTGAATGAAGAAGAAAAAAAAATCTGGTTATTTTTATATAACCAGCCAGCAAAAAAATGGAATGTAAATCTGTCTCTTTGGATATAACTGATTGTTAGAATCACATGAGTAGATTTTTTTTTTTTAATAGGATGTTGCAGTAGCATTTCCGTACCTCTTCTCAGGCGCTTGATAACAAGGTTATCATAGAGTTGGCTACTGGATCACTGCAAGACTGGGATATATTTGAGAGTGCTCACCTGGTGTGGTCCAGTTGCTTCCCTTAAAAACCCTTGGCTATGGTCAGTCCATAAAGGGTAATTTCAAAAAGGTAAATTATGCCAAAACCGGTTTGGCTCAGTGGATAGAGCGTCGGCCTGTGGACTGAAAGGTCCCAGGTTCGATTCCGGTCAAGGGCATGTACCTTGGTTGCAGGCTTATCCCCAGTAGGGGTGTGCAAGAGGCAGCTGATCAATGATTCTCTCTCATTGATGTTTCTAGCTCTCTATCTCTCTCCCTTCCTCTCTGAAAAAAATCAATAAAATAGTATATATTTTTTTAAAAAAAGGTAAATTCTTGGTCTCTAGAATCATCCTCAGAAATATGGTAAAAATATAATAGCAATCAATGTGTGCTGACACCTTACCATGCTATTTTATATACCTTATTTACTTCCTACAGCAACCATCTAAGAAGTGTAATTACTGATTTACAGATGGGGAAATGAAAATTCAGAGGTTAGATTATATGCTCCTTCAAAGTTGTTTGGTTACTAAGCAACAGATTCTGTACATGAGCCTAAATTTGATCCCCAAAATCATGCTCTTCGTTGGTTGGCTAACTCTTCCAACATTGGATTTAGACTGATTCTTAGTCTGTCTAAAACTACATTTCAATTTAATGATCACCATGCTGGGGCATGTAAGGGATTAGAAATGAAGACATGGGTTCTGTCCTAAAATAACGTGTAACTTTAAAATACTAAAACAGAACTTACCTGGAAGTGTAAAATAGAGAACCAATAGTCACAGGAATAGAATGAAATTTGCTCTGCAAGCCACAAGGTGCTAAAGGCAGAGTAAGCAGATTTACTCTTTCTTTGTAGTCAAGTTCAAATGTTCACCTTGAATACTTAGCAAATTTCCCTCTCTTGTGCTGAGGAAACCAAAATGGAGAAGGAATAATGAAACTGGTCCAAGGAAACTTAATGGAAAGGGGATATCTGGGCCTATAGAGAAGTTGGGTTATTACTTAAATTAACAACAGCACAGATTGCTTGATAATCAGGTTTTTGTTCCATATAAGTCTATTCTCAGACTCATTAAAAACAAAAACAAACAAAAAAAACCTTAATTTTACTTCCTTGGTATTTTGACCTTAGTAGTTTCTTGGTAAAGATCAAAGCTTAACAAAGTTTAATACATTAGTGAAGGGGATTACATTCCTAAGTGCCTGTTAAAAGGAACCACCATGTTGAATCACTGGTTGTACAGAAAGAAAATTATGTCCATGAGTATATAGCTGCAATGGGCCTATTTACCATTTTCCAAGCCAAAAAAAGATCTTAGGAAGTTTGGTGGTTGTTGCCTCTTTTGTTAACCTTCAGAATAATGCTTACCTAGACAACATACAACTTTATTAATTTTTATTTTGGTGAAAACAATACAGCAGACTGACAGATTTTACTTTTCTTTTGAGCACATGAAGACAAAAGGACCCTTATTTAATTTGACAGAGCAATTCTACAAGCACTTACACTGATTAGGAACATAAAATATCAAGTACCACATTACTACTAGGGCAAGAAATATCAAATAAGGTTACATTTTTCTTCTGAGATTATTTTCACAAGTCAGCAACATTTGCATAATTTCAGACTCTTCAAAGATCACATTATTCAAATTCTACTTCTAAGGATAGAGAGCTATATACAAAGATAGACCAGAACAGGCTGATATATTCATAATATTCACAGAAGTCTTCATTCTGCACAGGGAACAAGTTTGATATTTTTGCACACATTCTCAATTACAAGCAAAAACAAAAACAAAACAACACAGGTCTGTAAATGTCAATTCAATTCACAGCAAGGCAAAAATGGAGAAAGGAATAGAATTTTACTCAATCACAGTGAAATAAGCAAATACCATCGATCTTCCACATATAAAAGTTCACTCCTAGAATAATAGGAAATATCTAGGCTTGCATTGGTGTGTATAAAAATCTGGTGAATTGGAGGATACAGGAAAAGTTAGGGGGAGACCCTCTCCCAAGCATCCTCTTTAAATAATCACTTTAATTTCCCCACATCTCCTGGGCAGAGCCTTGGGCCTCTCTCTCCCCCCTGAACCTGCAGGGTTCCGGTCTTCCCTGCCTGCCTTCCCAAGGCCACTCCGCAGCAGGCTCATTTGTTTCTGGGCTTCCAGTTTCTCCAGTTTAGAGCATAGTCCCCACTGCTCTGTACCCAGATTCCCCAAGCCCTGGGTAGCTTATGGCCAAACCTTCACAAAGGAAGGAGAAAGGGTGAGGGTGGGTGTCATCAGCACCACCACACCCCTCCAGAAGTAACACAGCCCTGACACACTGTTGTCCCCCCAGCTAGAACTTGTCTGAAAATCCAGAGGGCCCACAAACCTCCTTACACGCTAGGAGGAAGACTTGGCATTTGCCACAATGCAGACAGCAGCCTGCTCCCTCTTTGTCAGGGCAGAAGCAGGGAAGGAAAAGAGGAAGCTGAGAACTGAGAGCCAAGGGCCAGGCAGTAAGATGGAGGCCCTTAAGACATCAGGGCTATAATAGTACAGAACACAGGGCTGACCCACAAATGCTGCTTTCTAAGTTGTCCAAGCCCCCCCCCCCCAAAAAAAAAAAATTGCCATCTTTAGGAAAGTAGAGTCAAACTAATTTTTGGTTGTTTTAAATCACAACCTGCGGTGAGTCTTGAACCCATCTCTGTGAAGTGCTTCTGTCTCTCCTCCCGGACTCTCACACTAAAGATTAAAAAACACAGGAGGTTTTGGTAAATCATGAGAAAGGATGAGATTGTCAGCGTTGGTCCAAAAGAGCGCTGCCTAACTAAACAATTTACCCATAGGTCTCCCTTTGAAACATTTCGATCTTGCTTAAGGAAGTGGGTGGAGGCATGAGGGCAGAAGAGGGCAATGAGACCTGGAGAATCTATTATACAGTAGCTTTCTCCCTCTGGATACAGTCAAGGGGAGAGCCAATGAAACCAAAACCCTGCTTTAGTATTGTTTTTTTCTGAACTGTAATTGCCTCTTGAGGGAGGAGGGGGAGAAGGGGGGTAAGAGGAAGAGGAATAGCAATACATGGTCCTCAGTGACCCCAGCCTAGCAACTTCATCATGCTTAGAATAGGTAAGGAAGGGGATGCCTAACCAAGTTGCCCAGATTAAGGGGGGTTTATTGGCCAGGACTCAGAAAGGTTGTTGCCTTGCTTTGGGCACTGTCACACTGACAGCCAGTGGGTTGATGGGTAACCATTTGGAGGGGTTTAGGGGAAGGGGGGAGGGGGTGTTCCTGTGTGCTGCCTGGGGGCTTCAGTCCACAGATAGTTCCTGAAGAGGCAGGCTATGGTACGTGGGCAAAGCACATCCAAAAGACTGAAACCAGGTTTGGGAGGCCACAGCCCAGCTTTCATACTCACCAGAACTTGGTCAAAGTACAGTGACCAAAGGCAAAAGATCAACATGACACAGTATGCCTGTCATCTGCTACCTGGTTCAAGACCATCAGCTACCCACAGCCACCTGCTTATTCTGCCAGATAACCAGCAGGTTGGATGGCATACGCCCAGGAAGGCAGCTGGGAACCAGTTAGCGGTAGCCTGGAATGTCCAGTTTGGGTTGATGACTGGCACCATCTACATCAGCTTCATCTTGCAGGGGTGAAGCTCAAAAGATCTTGCCACAGAGTACCAGGTGTAGGAGCACAGCCAGCATAAAGTATGAAGCCCAGCTGGTTATTTGCAAAGCTATATATCAAGTTAACTTGTGGCAGATAACCCCTGGAGACCCTGGGGAAAGACCATCGTCACCGACGGGGCCCAAGGCATGCAAAGGAAGTCAGTGCATATCCGCGGCGTCTTGTGCTTGGCACAAAAGCAATACAAGGCCATGCACTTGGATCACGTAACGCTTTGCAGAACAGCAAGGAGGCCCAGAGGAAGATGAGCACAGACATAGAAGCCATAATCTTGCAACTGATTGAAGACTTTAGAAGAACTAAAGAACAAAATAATCCAGGGTGAAGAGAAAACAGACGGGAGCGTGCATGCGACTGGCTAAGCACGGGATCCAAGAGGAGGTGGTCAAGAAACGGGGTGCAGGAGCTTCTCCCAGGCCAGGAGCTAGCCAGACTGGAACCTGAAGGCCCGGGGGCTCTCCACTGGCTGTCTCCCTGGGTCTCGAAATCTTCGGGGCCCTTCCCCCATCAGGTAGTACTGGAGGGGATTGGACCACAGCTCTCCTTTGATAATCTCAGCAATCCTGTCAAATTCCAGGAGGCTGTGGTCTGAGAACCAGTTGAAGAAACTGGGGATCGAGTTCCCTTGCCGGTTCCTGTGGCTATGGGTCTGGGGGTCTTGGCCCGGGTGCCAGCGGATCGGGGTGGCGAGGGACACCACGCGGCCAGAGGACCTGCGCTCATACTCCTTGACGAGCGCGTCATTTCGGAAGTAGGGGTTGCCCTGAAAGATGAACTTGAATTTGCAGCCTGCTCTCGGGTGCTTAAGCTCCTCCACCTCCAGATTGACCATGTACCTCATCATTTCTTCATCCTGGCCGCTGATCATAGGTGACAGCTGGGGGTGGTTCCCAAAGGCGATGACCCAGAAACCGGGGATGTTCTGGATGATGAAACTTCTGCGCTGCATGTGGAGCCTCCGCATGCGGCCGAACTTGCGCTCCAGCTGATGGAAGGCCCTGTCCGCCTGCGCATTGACGTTTAGCAGCTCCTGGTCGATGGCCTCCAGCGAGTCCATGGAGTGGCTGGCCTTGGGGCTCCCAGCCCGCGCCTCCTCTTTCACTCCTGCCCCCACCACCTTCTCCTCCTTCTGCGCCAATGTCTTCTCCGCCGCCGCCGCCGCCGCCGCCGCCGCCACTCCCTCCTTTCCCACCGCGGCTGAGGCTGAGGCGGCGCCCTTCTTGGTCACCCCGTCCTCGGCCGTGGCCCCAGGCATCGCCAGAGACCCCGGTCCCTCTGCGCCACGGGCTTCTGGAGCTTTCTCCCCAGCTGGGCCGCGCGGCTCTCCCGGCGGACAGCCATTTTCCTGGCTCTGGTCGGCAGCCACAGCCGCCGAGGGGGAGGCAGGGGCTGCGCCCGGCCCCCCTGCCTGGGGCCGAGCCTCCTCCGGGGCCGTTTTGGCGGCCGCATCACCACCCCTAACCTCCCGATCGCCGGGCTCGGGGCCGCAGGCCGCGGGGGCCGGGGATGCGCCCCCCTCCGCCGGGCTCTCCGCGCTGCCCTCGCCCTCACCTGTGGGCGCCATCGCCATCGCCGTCGCCATCGCCATCGCCCGCGGCGCCTCGGCGGCGTCCTCGCTCCTCCGGCGCGGGCTTAGGTTCGGGGGTGCCGGGGCCGGGTCGGGAGTGGCGGGGCCGCAGGTTTTAGCGGCGGAAGGGCTGCTGGCCTCCTCCGGACCGTTCATTTTGGAAGGAGTCAGACCTGCAGGAGAGCGAGCCTGGTCCGCTGCAGCAGTGGTGCTCCGCCCTTCGCGCCACCCCTCTCTCGCCCGCATCCCGGAGGATGTTGCCATGGCAACCGGTGACGTCAGGACGGCAGCGTATCGCGATTGCGCAAGAAGCAACTGCTCCCTGGGATGATGCTGGCCATACCAGGTAGTCCGTTGTCCTTAGGTTACAAAACGTTTTCAGTTTCGTCGGTCTGGGAGAGGTTTGGCTTTCGTGAATCGATGCAGCAAACTCCAGCATGGGCGAATTCGGTTCACGCGGATTTCCTAAGGCTTTCGTTGTTGTATATTCAAGTCAGCTCCCAGGGCTTCTCGTGTATAAAGTGGATTCAGCAATGCCCAGGCCTTCCTTCTTTAAGGCAGAGATTCTTGGCTCTTTACAAAGAATTGAGATGAACAGACTTTGACGCTTAAGAAAAGTGAAGTGTTACTGTGTGAAGTGTGAGCATTTAAGTCATTAGGAGCAACTGAAAGGGAAACCTGCTCATCCCCAGAAGACGTCCTAAAAGATAATTTCAATTTTCCACACATATTTTAAAGTTTATATACTCTGGCCAACACCTACAAAGTAATTGGACAATATTTCCTCTTCACTGTGTAAGTAGGAAGATGCTGTATTTTCCTTATTTAGGAGTGACTTAGACACAAGTGTGCAAATTCAGCCTTTAAGCATTACTGGAAGAAATGTAATCTCAGATTTTAATTTCTAAAATTAGGCATACTCTGTTGCTTATCCCCTGATTATAATCTTAATCTAAAAAAGTTGTTGCTTCATAATGCCAGTGGACATGAAGCCAGCAAATATTTACCAAAATTGGCTTCTGTGATAATTCACTGTGGGACAGGTGGACATGGGGTGGGTAGCTTCTCAGCTTATGAAATAGGTATTATCATCCCTGCATTGTGAACATGAAACTGAGGCTCAGAGAAGGTATTTATTTTGCCTAATATACTTGGGGGAAGATTCTAAAACTGTGATTTAATCCCAACTTAAAGCTAGTGTGTTTTCTTGCCTCTTGGCCAGTAGGAAGACATCTGGGTATTACAATAGTTAGCAGCTTAAGTGACCCTTTTCATTATTTTTTAATTAAAAAAATTATGTTTCCCTTATGAATTTTAAGAGAAAGACAGAGGCCCCTTTTCATTTTCAATAGAACCATTTCTTCCTGGCCTGTTCTCAATAAAGTTACATTAAATGCAAGTACTGAGAACATGAAGCCAAAAAATAGACATTGTTTTCCTAATTTGATATGATGTAAATTCTTAGGTGGGTCTTAACAAATGCTGAGGTCAAAGGAAATGTATCAAGGAGGCCCTTCAGAACTGAAAGCACTTCAAACATGAAGAAAATACTGCTCACAAATGAAACACCTCCCATCCTAATTAATAAAGATTATACTTATTGTTTCTATAGCCTAGGCACTTCAATTATAAATTAACCTGGAGGGAGAAGTTGGCCTGAAGGGATGGTCCTGATCATTGACACCTCTTGACCACATAAATCCCATTTTCTTGTGCATGTGCCGGGTTTGAGTATGTGATTTGCTAGAGAAAACATCGGAAGAGAGATATCCCCCCAATGAGATAGTTCTTCAAGAGCAATGACAATATCTATATTCCATTTAATCCTTAATATAGTATCTGATATATAAAATAATTGCTGTTGCAGCAATTAGCACATTAATTTTTAACAATCAAATATGCTTCTCAAGTGGTGGGCATTGAATTGACTTGATGGAATGCTAGATTCAGATTTATTTTTCTGTTGCTGGCTAACTGCTAAAACGTGCAGCCCATGTAATACACACAAAATGGTATAATGACTGAAAATATTTTTATTTTCTGAGCTTCATATACTCTGTAAGCCAAAAAAGTACAGAATATTTTATTCTAGAAAAATATGAAGCTATAGGTCTAAATATTACTAGCAACTTATTAACCAATATAACTATCAGTGCCAGTTTGGCACCCAGATCTACCTTACTTATATCCAGAAAAATAGTTTTACACAATACGTTCTGCAAGATATATCTTAGAACAAGATTATAAAAGGCATTTTATTTCATTATCCTTTTTTACCCACTGGCCTCTAGTTTAAGGTGACCAGATCGTCCCGCTTTTGGCGGGACAGTCCCGATTTTTAATAATTTTTCCCGCGGCGTTTTTAAAAAGTCCCGATTCGGGACTGTCTGGCCAAAAGTGGGACGATCTGGTCACCTTACTCTAATTATACTTTACCCAACTTGAATCTAGACTAGATAATCCTTGTCCTAAAGTCACAAAAAATTTCATAGGGAGAAAGAATAACGTTTATTTTTAGATTTTTTTTTATACACTTTGAGATACTCAAGAAGTCTAGACCCATGCTGTCCCCCATGTAAGTTAAAATTTACCAGTAGACACAGTTAAAAAATGGTTAAGTATGAGAAATCAGATCTGAATTTGGACTAGCCACAAAGTGCTCAATAGTCATTGATGGCTCATGGCTGCTGTATTAGCACATGTCTAGAATGTAACGAACTTCAATCTCCAAGTGAATAGTCACCTTAAGATGTACAAAAACAAAGCATGTATAAGATGATCCAAAGTTGATGCTCTGTTAAGATGGCAAGTGAAACAGTTAAATGTTAAGTGTTTGGATTTTCTCTAACTTTTGCTTTTATTTAATACACATGTCGAACTCAAAGGCTAACAAAGCCAAATAAATAAGGTTAAAGTTTATGTGAGGGCCGCCCCCCCCCCCCCAAAAGCTTCATTTTTCATGGAAACACAGGTTAATTTGGATATTTAAATAAAGTTTTATTTAGCTGAATGCAAAGGGCTGAAATAAATGAGTAATCGTTAACATAAAATAGAACATTTTAATAGAAATAAATTTTTCCTTGAACATTAACTTACCAGACACTGAATAACTGCACAAGTTAATAAGCATAATGCAAATAAACCTATTTTTCTTATTCTCTGAAAGCGAAGTATTTCCAGTTGCGCACACCAAACAGGTCAGTGCAAATGACATGGCAATCGGCTGCTTAAATATTCGCTGCTAGTATCAGTGGAGAGAAATGGTCCACCTGCACATTTGGGGCATAAGGGAAATGAATGCAACAAGATTAATCAGTCATTAGCAAACATTGTAGTTCGTTATTAATAATATATAATAAAAGCATGATATGCTAATTAGACCTGATGTCCTTCTGGACGAAGCTGGGACTGCGAGGGAAGCCTGGGTCTCAGGTGCCAGAGGGAAGCTGGTGCCGGCAGTCAGGGGGAGGAAGGCCTACTCTTGCATGAATTTTGTGTATCGGGGCTCTAGTTATATATAATAGGATATTGTAAAAATTAAGTTACAAATTTTTATTAAAGCATTCCTTACATACCATTGTATTGGCTGGGCCGAAAAAATATTCCTTGTGAGCCACATGCAGCCTGCAGGCCTCAAGTTTGACATGCTTGGCTGGGTACGAGGTTATTTTGTCTATCTCCATTTGAGTTGTTCATTTTGTCATTCAGTATTTATCTGGTAACAACTATGTACATTAAGCTAGATGTAGTGACGAAGGTAAAAAACATCCTTTTCCATCTCTGCTTTCACAAAACTTCCAAACCAGAAAGGGACAGTGAAAGACATGTGAATAAATCTTTGTCACTCTGTCAATTATTTGTTTCCAGTAGCCTTTCCCTAGTTCTTTAACAATAAATGGAATGCATTCTCTCTTCTTACACTTGTTATCTTCCTGGGGCCTGACAGATGCCTTAACAAATGTTCATGGAATTCAACATAATGAATTACTGTGTTATTTTCTAGAACAGAGTGTCCTACAAAGTACACCAAGTACATAAAAGTTTCAGCCAAAACCTGTTTGGCTCAGTGGATACAACGTTGGCCTGTAGATTGAAAGGTCCCAGGTTCGATTAAGGTCAAGGACATGTACCTTGGTTGCGGGCACATCCCCAGTGGGGGGTGTGCAGGAGGAAGCTAATCGATGTTTCTAACTCTCTATCTCTCTCCCTTCCTCTCTGTGAAAAATCAACAAAAAATATATATATTTTTTTAAAGTTTCATTTTCTCTAAGGGGAACAGAAAAAAGTGTAAAAGAGAAGAGTGATTTATGACAGACCTTGAAGGATTTGACAGAGAGAGGTGGTGAGGTTTGAAGAACAAACAAGTTTCTACAGCTAAGAAATTATGGGAAGAGTATATCATTTATGGTAAGAATTCTCTGAATGTGTGCTTATTAAATGCACAAATGACTAAGACAAGCCTGAGTGATCTGAAACTATTATCTACATAGACAAAAATGGAAGCTTTAAGGAAGTGAAGGTTGGAGTGGAATGGGGGTATTGCACAAAGTGTATGGGAAAAATTGACAGGAATAAGCAGTTACAATTGTTAACATTTTAAAGTAAACAAAAGGAACATTCTTCCCTACTTTTTCAAGGTAGTGTGCTATACTTTATTTTACTTTTGGGATAATGCCTGTTGTGTTCATTGAAGAACTTTATTAAATTCCATAATCTGTATCTCTAATAATTTCTTCAAGCATGTTTGTTAATAGGGTGAAAAATAAGAACTCTTATCTGAGTAACAACATACTTTTATTTTAACAACATGCATATATGTAAATATAAATACGTTATTGGTACACTTCCAATTTGACAGAGCAATCTTCCAAGTACTTAATTAAATTGTTAATAAGTTGTTAGCAGGGCAAATTATCAAGCAAGACAATCAAGCCACACTGTTTTTACAGGTTATTTTTCCATGAAGACAATTTCCAAAGTCTTGATAATCTGACAAAATCAAGTTATTTATATTTCTAAGAATGTAGTTTTGACAGAAACAAGAACAAGTTTGAAAACCTTTATGAATATTCATTTAAGTCTCTATATATCTGGAAAGATTATTTTTCTAAATGTTCCCAAACAAAAGCAAAGAAAGCTTGTATAACTCAATTTTCCTAGTAAGCAAAAACAGAAAATAACAGGATTTTATTAAGTATTAGTGAAATAAAAGTATTTATCTCCATAAATTAAGTCAAATAAAAATATAGAAAAAACATCAAAAGTTGTATTTCTTTAAATAACTCTTCTCACCCTTGCCAGTGTGGTTCAGTGATTAGAGCCTTGGCCCAAGCACTGAAGAGTTGCCAATTTGATTCCTAGTCAAGGTCAAAGGCATGTACCTGGGTTGCAGGTTTGATGCTGGCCCTGGAGGCAACCAATCGCAATCTCTTTCACATGGATATTTCTCTCTTTAACACCCCTCTTCCTCCCTCCAACTATCTCAAAATCAATGGAAAAAATATCGTTGGGTGAGGATTAACAACATAAGAAAAAAAAAATCCTGGCCAGTATGTGCAGTGGTTAGGGCACTGACCCACTACACCAAAGGACTGGGGGTTCAATCCCCAGTCAAGAAAACATACCTGGGTTGCAAATTCATCCCCAGCCCTCGTTGGGTCAGGGCATGTGGGGAGGAAACCAGTCAAAGTGTCCCTGGAAATCAAGGAGAGCCAAATTAACTACAAGATCTGCTTTTGCAGATGTTTCTAAGTGTTGTTTTTTATTTTGAGATAAGGAACACACAGAAAGTGTACTGCTAATTACATCAGGATGAGGAAAGGAGGTACAGAGAGGTACCGAAGTTTTGTGTGAATTCACTAGATACTGAGAAAGCCTGGACACCATCCTTATACTTGTCATAAGGACAAGGTCTAAACTTGTCACCTCAACCACTTCTCTGAAGTAGGGCTCTTGGATGATGAGGATCAAGGGGAAAGAGGATGAGGAATGGAAAGGCTGGAAAGGAAATTTGTGCTAGCAGAAAACTTGGGTCCACCACCAGTTCTAGAGATTCTGGTTTACCAGAAATGAGAGGAGCTGACAATGGTCTGGAAGATGTTCATCGAGTAGGCAGCAGGCTAAGAGGAGTGGACACAGCCAGAAGCAGGCAACAGCTGACCACAGGTGCAAGGAGAGCAATGCAGTCACATGAATCACGAAGACCAAATGGACCACTGCTGCTCTTCAGTGTCTCTGGTGGTTTTCTTTTCTGCAAAAATCCATAGGCTGTATGCTTGCCCTGCAGAACAGGGTGGGTAGAACAGGCCTCTACACAAAAGCTAGAATCCCAGATGGTAAAAGCCAGACCAGAGGCCCTGGAAACAAAGAGAGTCCAAGCAGTGCAAAAAAAGGCAGTGAAATTTACAGCATATTTACTTGACTTAGCAGCAGTGTGAATATGGCCTTGCAGGATGTGACAGTGATGCAGAACAGCATGAAGGTCATATATTAAGTGGAAAAAGTCAGGCTGTACAGAAGTGGAGAAGCACAGCTATGAAGGTCCCAATCTTGCGGTTGAGAAAACAAATGTCCAGAGGGGAGAAAAAAAAAAAACGTTTTAGAAATGTCAGGGGGGAAAAAGTAGAAGGTATACCACCCATTTCTGTTGCTCAAGCACAGGTTTCAGCAAGAAGTGCCAGGGGACCTTGTGCAGAGGTAGTCCCAAGGACCAAGTTTAACCAGACTGGAACCCAAACGGCCTGGGGATCTCCACTGGTTCCCTCAGTGGGCGGCGTCTGGCTCTACGGACTCCTTCGCGCAGCAGGTAGTATTGCAGAGGATTCGGCCACAGGTCCTCTTTGATGATCTCGGCAATCTTGTCAGACTCCGGCAGGCTGTGGTCTGAAAACCAGGTGAAGAAATTGCAGACGACGTCTTGGTTTCTGCGAATGAAGGACTGGGGCTCATGGCCCCGACGCCACACGATTGGAGTGGAGAGAGACACCACTCGGCCGGCTCTGACTTCGTATTCTTTGACAATCAGCTTGTTTCTGAAGAAGGGGTTTCTCCGGAAGAAGAACTTGAACTTGCAGCCGGTTTTCGGGTGTCTGAACTCCTTCACTTCCAAATTGGTGATGTATCTCAGCATCTCGGCATCCTGGCCCCTGATCATGGGGGCCAGCTGGGGGTGGTTTCGGAAGGCGGTGACCCAGAAGCCCGGGATGTTCTGAATGATGTAATTCCTCCGCTCCAGGTAGTGCCGACGCATCCGGCCAAACTTCTGCTCCAGCTGCTGGAAGGCCCTGTCGGCCTGAGCATTCACAGTGTCCAGCTCCTGCTGGATGGCCTCCAGCGGGTTCATGCGGAGGTTCACGCGGAAATTCACATTCAGGGGCCGGGGCAGCCCTGCCCCCTCCGCCCCCTCCTCCACCGCCTCCACCGCTCGGTTTTCCTCCGCCATTTCTATTTCCTCACCTACTACTGGCTTCTCCTCTACCTCCACCTCCTCCTTCACTTCTTCATCTCCTTTCTCCTCCTTCATTTCATCTCCTTTCTCCTCCTTCACTTCATCTACTTTCTCCTCTTTCATCTCCATTTCGTCATCTCCTTTCTCCTCCTTCACGCCTTCCTTTTCCACCATCGCCTCAGCCACTGCTACCGAGACCGGGTTCACTTCCGCGGCCGCCGCCTCGGCCACCGCCTCCGACCCCGGCTTCTCTGCGCCACAGGCTTCCACGGCCTGCGCCGCCCCGGGGCCGCGCGGACCGCCATTGTTGGGGCCGCGGCCCGTTGCCATGGACACCGGCTCGGCCGCCGGGGCCGCGGCGGGGGGCGGGGCCTGCTCCGGCTCCGCTTCAGGCGCTCCGACATCGTCACCCCCGCCACCCGGGGTCCGGGGGGCACGGCCGCCGACCCCACCGGCCGCAGGGTCGGGTGAGGCTCCCTCCTCCTCCTCCTCCTTCTCCTCCTCTGGAAGCTGGACCGGCGGGAGGGCGACGGCCTCCGAGCCTCCCTCCCCCGGCTCCGCCATCACCTGTGACGCCTCGGTTTCCTCACGGAGCTGCGGGCTCGGGTCTGGGTCCGGCTGTCCGGGGGCGGGGGCGGGGGCACCGGGGCTGCAGGTCTGGGGGTGCAGGGCCCCCTCGGCCCCGGCTAGGCCGCTCATGTCGGCGTTCGCAGCAGCCAGACCAACCGTCAGTGACCGTCCGCTCTCCTCACAGAAGCCGCGCAGTCTGTGTCCGCCGGCGAATGGCGCCGCCCACCCCTCCGGTCTCGCGAGGGTCTCCGTGAGGGTGACGTCACGGCTGCGGAGCTCCCCGCGCGACTAGGCTGCTCCCGGGGATTGGTGCGGCTGTTGCCAGGCGCCAGCGAGTTCTGTCTCCGAGGAGTTTTATCGGTTGGAGCGATACATTGACTCACGCAAATCCATGTATAAGGGCCCTGGCTGGTTTGGCTCAGTGGATAGGGCATCCGCCCGGGTTCCATTCGGTCAAGGGCATGCAACTTGGTTGTGGGCATATCCCCAGTAGGAGATGTGCAGGAGGCAGCTGATGGATGTTTCTGGCTTTCTATCCCTCTCCCTTCCTCTCTGTAAAAAATCAATAAGGCTGAAAACGGTTTGGCTCAGTGGATAGAGCTTCAGCCTGCGGACTGAAGGGTCCCGGGTTCGATTCTGGTCAAGAGCATGTACCTTGGTTGCAGGCACATCCCCAGTAGGGGATGTGCAAGAGGTAGCTGATCAATGACTCTCTCATCAATGTTTTTAATTCTCTATCTCTCTCCCTTCATCTCTGTAAAAAATCAATAAAATATATATTTTTAAAAATCAATAGGATATATTTAAAACAGACCAAATAAAATAAATGTATAAGGAACTCTGAGTCCGATAGCACTGAGGGTCCTCCCCACAATGCATCTGGAAACTGCCTCCAGCACATAAGCTGGGGTAATTGTAGGGGCCACAGGGCGACACTGTATACTTGGTATAAATGTGTGTCTCTGGTTTTCAATATTTTGGCAAGAAGGTAAGTCTGTCCCCTGTTACTCCATCATGTCCGAAAGCAAAAAATCTTCTCTGTATTTTTTAAACCAGGATGAATCACAGATTGTTTCCCTTTTCTCCACGGAGAAGTGACATGAAAATATCAATATCTGGCTGAAACATCACTGGGAGCACAAGCCAATCGGTGTTGCATATTCCTCCTTGCCCATCCTAAATTTATAACCTGCATCCAAGAACTTGTGCAGCATAATGTCTGCAAGAATTAAGCCAGGATCAATTTGCTAAATCTTGCTCAGTGGCCCCTCACTGTAGAAAACAGAAAAGCTATTTCCAGCCCCGTAAATTATTCATCTGTTTGCAAATTTAGTTCTGCAAGAAGATAGGAAAGTTTGGCCATAATGAAGTGTGTCTTCATGGCAATCAGCTCACAGAGTTTATTTAAGAGTTATGCCATTGTCTCTGGTTGCTTTACTTTCAGAGTGCTGATTTGTGAGGAAAACGGGTGTTAGAGATTTCACAAGGCCTGGGGGAGAAAGACCAGCTGCCACCATTTTATGAAGAAAAGCCCATTAAAATGGATAACCAAAATGGTCTTAAAATAGAATTACAGCCGGGACCGGTTTGGCTCAATGGATAGAGTGTCGGCCTGCGGACTAGAAGGTCCAGGGTTCGATCCGGGTCAAGGGCATGTACCTTGGTTGTGGGCACATCCCCAGTGGGGGTTGTGCAAAAGGCAGCTGGTCGGTGTTTCTTTCTCATCGACGTTTCTAACTCTCTGTCCCTCTCAATTCCTCTCTGTGTAAAATCAATAAAAAAAAAATATTTAAAAAAATAGAATTACAAACTTGCAGAATGCCAACATGCAGTTAGAGTGTAAAAGAGGCAAACACTTTTTTCCTATTTGCTCTGCTTTCTATGGCATACCGGCTGAGTAATGGCTCCCACAGGAATCCAATTGCTAATATTCAGAACCCATGAATCTGTTTCTTACCTGGTAAGGAGACTTTGCAGATATGATTAGTTTAAGGATTTGGGGATGGATGATTATCCTGGATTATCTGGGTGGACCCTCTATAACTACCCTGTTTCCCCGAAAATAAGACAGTGTCTTATATTAATTTTTGCTCCCAAAGATGCGCTAGGTCTTATTTTCAGGGGATGTCTTATTTTTCCATGAAGAAGAATACAGTACATGTTTATTGTTAAATGAAAATAAAGGAAATTTATTACCTGTATACGGTACGGTAGTACTGTAGTTGTCAACACAAACCAGACAAACTGTGAATCATACAGTATCAAGAATTTACTCATTTATTCAGTGACAATCATGTCCTCATCTTCTGGAACACCATCATAACAATCCAATTCCTGAATTTCCTGGTGAATTTCTTGTGACTCCATTTCTTTCAGAATCAGTGGACCAAATTTCTCATGTTTAGCCTGGGGGGTTTGGGGGGGGAAAGGGCCCTATTTTCAGGGGATGCCTTATATTTCACTTAAAAGGAAACCTGTAAGTAGATCTTATTTTCAGAGGATGTCTTATTTTCGGGGAAACACGGTAGATGGGTCCATATGAAAAGGAGGTAAGAGTGTCAGTTTGGCCGAAACCGGTTTGGCTCAGTGGCTAGAGTGTTGGCCTGTGGATTAAAGGATCCCAGGTTCGATTCCAGTCAAGGACACATGCCCAGTGTGTAAGTGTCATCTCCCCAGTGGTGGGCCATGCAGGAGGCAGCCAATCGATGTTTGTCTCTCCTGATGTTTCTATCTTTCCCTCTCCCTTCCTATCGCTCTAAAATCAATAAAAACATATTTTTTAAAAAGGAATGAATAATGGAATTTTCCACAAGGCCCACTACTAATTGCCATGAAATTATTCTCAGTCTTGGAACTGGAATAATTTAATTTGGCCTGAAGTGAAAACTTTTTTACTCTAATATGCCTTCTATTTTTAAGCAGAAGACAGCGCCAGGCTGTGACCAGTCCCAGGAGATGTCTTTATTTGTCAAAGTCACCATTATGCTGTCTACATAGTGTTACCCTGATATTTTCTCTGTTACTGCTTCCTGGGAAAATTAATGCTCTAACTGGTAATATTAGGGGAAACTCCGGTGATAGATGGTACATGTAAATGTAATCAGGACTCTGATGAGTATAATTCCCCCAGATGGTATTGAGACACTTTGGAGAAATTCTTCCTTCTCTTACTGTCCTTCAATCACTGGGAAAGCAGTGATGTGAAATATTTGATTGACTTTATACAAAAAGTGAGGAAAAATAATTTCTTTTCTAATTTTAATTATCTGAAAGTCACAGTAGAGAAGTGATTGTGATTATATATAACTCTTCATTGTAGATGATGGTGAGCCTAGGTTATGCTCACTTTCAAGTAAGAGAAGGGCCAGTGAGAAGCAAGGATTGAGAGAGGAAAGCAGATAGGTGTATGTTATGCCTTTTTTTTTTTTTTTTTAATCCTCACCCAAGGATATTTTTTCCATTGATTCTAGAGAGAGTGGGAGGCAGGGAGGAGGTGAGGGCGGAGAAAAAGGGAGAAACATCTCAGTGAGAGAGATACATAGATTGATTGACTCCTCCACGCCCCCTACTGGGGCTCCAGCCTGAACCCCAGGCATGTGCCCTGAGCAGAAATCAAACTGGCACCTTTGGTGCACAGAACAACATTCTACCAACAGAACCACGTTGGCCAGAGCCATCGCATCCTAGTTTAATTGGGAATGTTGTTTTTTTCTTGGTGACATTTAAATAATACTGTGTTTTACAACCGGTGAAATCAGGTGAAATGCCATCATCTTCTTCCTGGAAAATTCATTGAGTAGTAAAACAGTGTAAACTTTTTGTTTTTATATGTAAAATAATGTTAAATTTCAAGCTCAGATAATTAAATACAAGTGGGTTTTCCCACTTGGAAGTGGGAATATTTTGTTGATAAGGATTTCATGCCTTCCTGATCCTATCTAATGAAAGCCAATAAAACCCCCATTCTTTGTAATAACCAAAATATATTTCCACTAATTTCCAAGAGATCCCCTAGAGAAGGTACAGCTCCTGCTGGGAATCTCTTTTAAATACTTGGTGGGTATGGTATGTCCATTGGTTCCACTAGATGGAGTAATTGGTCTTTAAGAGGGTGATATGTCTTAGTCTATGATGGAAGAACTTTAAAATCTTTCGCTATAAAGGAAATATTCATAATTTAAATTGGATCATAATTTGTTATTTCCACTAAGCTGTAACTGTTACAAAGTCATTTTCTAAAGCAGATTTAGGTTTGTTATGATGGCTTCCAATGATCAAATTAAGCCAAAGTATCAAATGATCCTGCTTATTACTGTGTAGACTGGAGTCATGGACCTAGTTTCAACTTTGAGCTCTGCTACTTATTACCTGTTTCACCTGAGCAGGTCACATAATCGCCCTGAGCCATAATTTTCTCATAGTAAAATAGAGATTATAACACATACTTTATACTGTGGGCCTATTAAGAAAATGAAATAAAATTTGTAAAGCGTTTAGCACTATAAGCTTTCAATGAATAGAAGCTGGTAGTATTTTTTATTTATTTTATGCTAAAACTCACATATATTAAAATTAAACTATTGTATACTAAATTCCATTATGAAACAGTTAAGTGTTTAGGAGTTCAGAGAAGAAAGACATCCATGTGGATTAGAGTGATCAGTGAAAGTTTCACGGAGAAAATGAGACTTCTATCCTACTATGGGTAAGAGTTGAATAGCTTGAGAAAGAGGCATGAAGACACAGTAATCATACTTGCCCACTACTCCAACTATTTTAGCATGCATTCTAGATCTTCACTGTCCTATATAGTGGCCATTAAATACATGTGGCTATTTAAATTCAAATTAATTAAAATAAATACAATGAAAATTTCAGGTCATCCATCACACTACCTGCATTTCAAGTGCTCAGTAGCAACATCTGGCTAGTGGCTACTGTACTGGGCAGCTTATGGCATTTCATCATGGCAGAAAGTTCTGCTGGACAATGCTGTTCTATGCGTATAATTTCTTCAGGTGGTAGAAAAAAGAGGGCTTGCCAGACCCAAAGTGCTGTACCGTGAGGTAGCCGGCATTATTTTATAAAAGTATTAAGGAAAAATTTACTCATGAAAATTTATGTTTTCAGCTAGCATTTTTTCCCCAAAAAATTGTGCCTTTATAAATAGGATTAAGTGTAATAGAACTACTTATGTACTGGCTCACATAATATCAAAAAGATAATCCAGATG